TGCAGGGCAGAGTCCGTGCCAATCGTCATGTCGGTACCGCAGAAATCATTGTCGATAGAGCCCACCATGCCCACAATGTTTAGATGGGAGGACTTTTTGGCTTCTTCATCCATTATCTTACCTGCAGATATTTGCTCATGATCCATTGTGACAAGAAATGCATATTGCATCTAATTTGCATACCGTGTTGTAAAAAAATCTGAAAGGTATCAAAAATTGACGTCGGTTTTTTTTCACCTTTCCGAGATTAAAATTGGTTTGTTCTGAAACCTATAAGTGTCGTTAATATGCAATAAAAAAATGTTGAATCAAGAAGATGGCAAATACTTTTTCATGGCACTGTACTTTTAGTAGGATTTAACATTCTCTGTTTGCTTCCATAATTCAAAGCAGCAGAGAGATGATTAAAATAGGAGCTCCGAGTCCTTGATGAATAGCTTATCTTCGGCAGAGTAAATGGAAAACAATCTCTCCTCACCAGCTCGGCGCAGGTCGGCCAGCAGTCCGCTCCACTCTGTCCTGAACTCATTGGCCCCGGTCAGGCTGCCGTCGCCTCCGATGACACAAAGGTTGGTAATTCCGAGCTTGACCAGGTTGCAGGCCGCTTTCATACGGCCCTCCCTGGCTCTAAAGTCTTTGCAGCGTGCACTGCCGATGACTGTTCCCCCCTGAAAAGTTGTTGAGCACTCTTGCATTGGCTGACGATTTGCTAATGTATCAAAGGTTTTTTTAATCCAAACACCCTTTTTTGTGTCCCTTTCGAGCCGCAGGTTCCCCTGTGTCACATGTTGCAATATGAAATATTGACAAGCAGAACGGACACACTCCTATCCTACTTTTACATGTGATGCGTCCACATGGGGGTCATTCCATGCCAAATCACCCCACCAAAAAAAAAATCGGAAAAATTGAACCAAGTGGATTTAGTTTTTAATGAAACTTGCTGTACTTGTTGATAGTGGTGGCACAAGATGAAATCTCAAATTTTAGGTCAATCGTAGCACCGGCGTGGGAGCTACGGCCCACCGAATTTTAATGTTTGGCAAAAGGGGGCATGGCAAACTTCAAATGAATCCTTATATCTCAGGAGCTACCTGGGCCAATCTTCACAAAACCCCTAATTTTGGAAACATGGAATGCAAATCTGCAATCGTTTATAAGATTGGTGCATATTTTAGTAATTTAACCTTTTTGACCTAGAATTTGACCTTGACATTTACCTTGTGGATCATGTGACCTTAGCACATTTTTTTTCATGAAATGTAGTCCCTCAAATCTTTTCTATCAAAGTTGTTTAATATTCGCTGAATACTCATTGAAAGTTATCTATTTATTGAGTATCCTATGAATATTCATTGCCAATCTGATTCCTTAATTCTGCTAAACAAAGAAATTACATCTCTGAAACTTTCATGTTCGAGCAATGATGTGTGAGATTACATTTCATGAAAAAAAAATTGTTGAAGATCACGTGATCCAAAAGGTAATTTCCAGGTCAAATTATAGGTCAAAAGGTCAAGCTACCAAAATATGCACCAATCTTTGAAATGATTACAGATTTAGATTCTTTGTTGAATCCCCTTTCCAAAAATAACTCATTGTTAAAGATTGTCCCAGAAGCCCATGAGATATGAGGGTTCATAAGAAGGCAACCACGCCCTTTTCGCCAAACATATGACTATCCGGTGGGCCGTCGTTCCCAACACCTGCTCCGATTGACCTAAAATTTGAGATTTTGCGTTGTGCCACCACGATCAACAAGTACAGAAAGTTTCATCAAAATCAAAATCCCCTTGGTTCAACCCCCTGAGTGATTTGACATGAAATGATCCACGTGTGCCATTAACTCACCAGTTGAAGCATCATGGAAACACTCTCCCATGTAGCAGGCCGAATATTTTCTCCTCCATCCACCAGGCCCTGGTAGCCCTGACGCACACATTGACAGAACCAGAATTGTTTTCATCGCAGTCTTCATATGTTTAGCATAGACTGTAAAATGGCGGCATGTGCAGTAGATCAAGTCATATTTCAACACAACGCTGCATTCATTGTTTCCTACCTCATGAACAAAGTAGACTTTGGCTCCAGTGTAGAGACCTACTCTGACTGTGGCTCTCACAGCAGCATTCATACCTGACACACACAAGTGGAGAGTTTGTTTAATTTTCACACTCACTTGTAGAAATTTATGGTCAGTAGTGGTAATTTTGCTAGCAACAGCTCTACCAGTACAGCTACAGCAGAAGTAGTAGTTAAGAGAAGTAGTCTTACTGGTCACGGTAGTGGACTTGTCGTACCAGTAGGGTTAGGCCTACTGCACAGCGAGCAATGTGACTGAACCTGACTGAACTCTGGCCTTGTGTGCGGGGTTCTGCAACTACTTTTGTTTGTAGCCGAGTTGTCAATTTTGCCTCCTCTTTTGTTCTTCCTTGTGCTCTGGATAGTTTTAGTTATTTGGACATGTTTACAAAGTTCACTGGGATCATATCAATAAATTTGCCCCTTCGGCTACAGAGAGTGAACAGTTCACCAATCAGCCAGAAGAAGGAATATTTGCTATCATCATCCATCCATCCATTATCCGATCCGCTTTATCCTCACAAGGGTCACGGGGGGTGCTGGAGCCTATCCCAGTTGTCTTCGTGCAGTAGGCGGAGGACACCCTGAACCGGTCGCCAGCCAATCGCAGGGCACACACAGACGAACAAACACCCGCGCTCACACTCACACCTAGGGACAATTTGGAGTGTTCAATCAGCCTGCCACGCATGTTTTTGGAATGTGGGAGGAAACTGGAATACCCAGAGAAAACCCATGCAGGCAAGGGGAGAACATTCAAACTCCACACAGGAAGGCCGGAGCTGGAATTGATCCAAGCACAGTGGAACAATACCTCTGCATTGTGAGGTCGATGCGCTAACCACTCGATCACGGGGCCGCCCTGCTATTATCATTTGTAGCAATAATAATTGGGCATTCATTTAAATTTTAATCCGTGTTGGCTGTTCCATGTTCGGGGTGGTTGTGAAGTTATTGTCATTAGGTGCAACATTCCCACTTGAAGAAGATTCATCCACAGACGATTTTTGAATCATTGATCAAGATATATTTTTTCCATTTTAACATTCATTAGTTAGACCCATCATAAGTAAATTTCAATCCTCACATTTGTCTTGGAAATTAGGTGCATGCAATGCAATGCAAATAACCAAAGAAAATATCATTCCAAGTGTAATTAGTAGCAGAAACAGTACACGCATTTCTAATTTAGCACTATGATGTTCATCTTGTCAACTTAAGTTAGGTTAAAGGGCTCTTTTTTCCAGACCGTGGTCTTTTTTTTTTTTTTTTTAAATTCTTATTTTTTGGGAGAGAAAAACTCTTACCTGGCTGACAGTTTCGCCTGTTGCTCCAGCCTTCATCGTAGCTGTCAATACTTCCTGACATCACCAGCTTCGATGAAGGCTGAAGCAACAGCCGAAACTGTCAGCCAGGTAAGAGTTTTTCTCTTCAGCAAAAAAATGTTTTTCGTCTGACGGCCAACTGTACTGCAGGCTGTAAGATTCAGCCGCCGTTAATTCAATAAACAAACCGACCCCATTATTGCTACAACTGTATCAAATTCTGACATGGTAATTGAGTTTTCCTGGGTAGATTAAGTGTTGCATCGTTGTATTATTTTGCTAATTTCTAGTAACCAGTAGTGCTGTTTTTGTCAATAGAAGAGGATCAATAGTGAGTAAAGCAGTACACAACTATTGAACTCCAACCTTTAATGGACATCTGACCTTTCGTTACACTGTCAGCAGACTAGGCCAAAATAGGCACCGAGAAAAGGACAGGAGGCGTGTTAATGGCGCTCCCTATGTGTTGCACCTGAATAACCTCAAACGCCAAATGCCACAGCCTGTGTTTTTGTTGTGACAAATTGGCAGACTGCAGCTCTTGTTTCACTGGACAGCTGCTGTCGATGGTGACCTCAAGGGGGAGAACGGAGCATTTCCTCTGCATGCCGGAAGGTCACCGCCACTAAAATTAGCCCCCGACACGCAAATTGAAGGAATGCTCAGTGGATTGGAAAAAGGATCATTGAAAAATACGAGCTGAATCGATAACAACATCACTACTTGGAGGTGAACAGAGGAAGCGTCCTTACGAGGTTACCTATCTTGAATGCGGTGGTAAAAGAGAATGACTGCACATGTTAGGATCCTAATCTGTCACATCTCAATTAACACCAAGAGCATGCACAAAAATGAATCTGTTTTTATTTGCAGACATCACAGAAAAACTTTGAATAACACTTCTTTTGGTGTTATTTAAAAGTACAAATTAACGTGGAAAATCCTCATTCAACACAATTATCCAGCTGTGTTCACTTCACAGGCACACCAGCAGACAGGAAACTATACCATCTTACCTTGGGCGTCTCCTCCAGATGTCAGCACGGCTATGGAGCGTCCCAGGCCCATCTTGGTGGGATCCGTCATCGTCTGGAGGTTCGTTGACATGTTTCCCAGTAAGCAGCAAGGGCTACGCTGAACGGGAAAGGAGATAGAAAGAGCAGGAACGGCTGCTCTCCTGCTGGAAGTACACAGGCTTTATAGCCCACTGGTGTCCTGAGTCCACTCCCACCGACAACCTCCTCCACCAGCACTCAGTCAACTAAATATACATCCAAGCACCTGTCCTGGACATGGCAAAACAAGGCACACGATACTCATTGATTCAAAACTACTTGGACAACAGTTCCTTTCACCAGAATGAAAGGGAAATGATGGAAAACATCAAGTTAGGCCCAACCTTTGCCTTGCACACTAAACAGCGACGGTAGGAACTTGAAAGGGGCTGTGTAAATTTTACCCTAGTGTTTTGATGCGGTTCTACTTCCCCAAGCTCACCCAATCTTTGACTTTTGTATCTACACATGGAACAAAAAGGGGCCATCAGGTCTAGCTATTATTGTTACGCGACAAAGACTCCAAAACAGACACATGCTCAGGCCACAAACTGCATACAACCATTTATTTCCAAAAGTGAGACGCCAAAAGACAAAAACGCATTGAAACAAATACATTAGTAATTTGTGGAAAGGTGCTGGTCCTCACAGGGACAACAGAATGACAAAACACCCTATTAGGTGCTCTCCGACAAACACAACAATGGAGCTCAGTCATTTCCCCACAGTCTTTTCTTGGGGTAAAGGAGAACAAATGGACTGAAACAAGCAAATTTCCTTCACAGCCCAAGGTAACAATTCTGCCCTGTAGCTACATTTCACTTTCATTTGAAAGACAAGCTCAAGTGTCAACATTTGCATATCCAGTGCCTGCAACATTGTGGGGATCTGTATTAGTGTTTCATTAAAAAGACACATTAATTAATTATTTTTCTTGAAGTGGAGAGGAGCACGGAGAGGGAGCATCCAAGCACAGTGGAACAAACGTCTAGAAAAAGAAAAGTCATGCACACTTGTGAGACAACCCCGCAGGGAATACGTACAGTGGAACCTTGAAGCTGGAACACCCAAAACTATGCCTCAACGTTAAAACAAGTTTTGGAATTGGAACCATTATCATGTGAAGTCATCCGACCCCAAGTAGACCGCATTTCAGGGGCTTTGTTTTTGCTTTGGCTTTTTGTGATACTAATTCTTAGGATGACAACGGTCAGAGATGAATATCCTGCTAATGTTAGCAAACATCAATTCAAAGTTGAAAAGACTGTGGTTGCATCTGAATACTTTATTTTGTAGTATTTTGGCGTCATGATAGTTAGAGATTCTGCTCAGCACCTGAGTCAGAGTCCCTTGATTTTGAGGGCACATTTGAGGGACACATTTTCAACCTGGGTGTGAGTGTTCCAAAATATGCTCAAAACAAGGATACAATCACAATTGAATCTTTTAGGGTATGGGGTGGGGATGTTTTCAAGTCCACAACTGTAAAACACCTGCCAATTTAATTGATTAGGTTGGTTTAAATAAATTGCACCAAATCGATCACAATGGGAACTTTTGTTTCAGATCACCAAAGTAGAAAAAAAAAACCAAACAACGTTTGACCATCGATTGTGGTGCAGCTTCAAGGTACCACTATGGTTGATTGCTCATGTTCAACAGTTTGCACTCACAGTGGACTCCAGAAAGTGCAACAAAGATGCCACCGGGTTGATACAGCGAGGTTGAGAGGGGAAGGATCTGGGAGCATCTGAGACAGAATGGGAGATATAAAAGGCAACCTCCTTGTCCAAAAGTAGGTCATTCATGGGAGAAAGTTTCTTGGGCAGTAACGCAAGCGCAGTGTTGCTAACGCAGGCCTTTTGGTCTGGAAAACACAAGTCAAAGTTTAGAAGCGTATCACAGTTGTGAATGAGCAAAGATGGACGTGTTGCCGTTGTGTTACCTCTGTGCAGAAAGCGACCAGCAAGGTTGATGCGACAAACAGGCTCACACACGTCTGCCATTTCTGACAGATCCTGACAGGCAGAGCTCTCCTGCTTCTCAAAACGGCACTGTTTCTTGCCTGTGGAAAAACAAATGACAGACTCTCTTTGCAGGCTTTGAATGAACTTCTGTCCTTGCTCAATCTTCTGCTCTTCTTCATCACTCCGGCTGGTGGTCATCTTTGCTCTGTCCTCACAGGGGGTTTTAATCTACAAGAAACGGGAAAGATTCAATTCATCGATGAGAAATGGCTTTGTGGTCTGTGCTTGAACCTCGCTTCTTACAGGTGAGGCTTGAAGAACTGGGAGCTGCTCTTCCTTCCCTTTGTCAGGACTCCGTCCATTCTCCTGGTCAACGAATAACGTCTGGGCAACTTGCTGCCACCACAAGAAACAACAGTTACAATTCTTTTTAGAAAGATTATTTGCAACTAGTCTGTGTCAAAAGTCAAGTTGGGTTTTTTTTCTTGTTGTGAAGAATTTACAGAAAACGCTGAGAAAAAGAAAAAGATTACAAAATTTGGCAGTTGTAAATTTAAAAGTTGTATTATTATTTTGGGACACTGTCATTCCATTTTATTTGTGTTTTCCTGCCTGCAACTCAAAAAAGAAAGGCTGGGTAACGGCTTGAAGTAAAGCAACACATGCATCTCGAATGTTCAAGTACCTGTAAACCCAAACCGGAAGAATATTTCAAAAATCCACTTGTGTCACGCTTACCCAATCTGTGACAGTGGACTGCAGGAGGAAAAACAAACAGTACTTTATCTTTTTTAATGGCAATTGCCCATGGGTTCAGTTCCTCGCAGTAACGGTGTGAATGTTAAGAGTGAATGACTGTCTGGCTCTATAAAGGCCCTGCGACTGTCTAGCGACCAGTGCAGGGATAAGCAGTAACAAAAATTTAGCTTCTCCTTATAGTATTCCGTATAGTAGTAAGTTTTTTGGTCGTAAATTTCCAACTTCTTTATCATAAAACGGCAATTGTTTGTGAATTTTTATTCCCACATTTCATGATTCTTTTTAAAAATGTTGCTTTACCCTTTTCTTTCGAACTTTTTTGTCAGACAATTACGATTTTATTCTTTATAATGAATATTTTTTTGTCCCCTCGCAATAGTTGATAAAAAAATGATTTAATTCACGCAAACTATTGACTATGACTATTTCTTTTTGTCCTTTTTTAAAACAACTAATTTAACGACTATATATATATATATATATATATATATATTTTTTCATTCATTCATTTTCCGAACCGCTTGATCCACACAAGGGTCGCGGGGGTGCTGGAGCCTATCCCAGCTGTCCAGTAGGCGGGGGACACACTGAACCGGTTGCCAGCCAATCGCAGGGCACACA